GTAATTTCTGGAATATACTCCTTAACCCGAGAGATGTAAACAACACGTCATAAGCCCTTCTCGAAGCATCTTACTCTACATATATATAAGAGATTGACAGGCACGAGGGGACGGAGATTTTTCACATAGATTTTCTTAACATTACGAGGCGTGTTTTATTCTTTGTGTATTTGTGTGCTCCTACTTATATGTGTTTATTCCGCATTATTTATTGGCATCATTATTTCTAATTGTATTAAGTGTGTACCGGTACGACATCTGCCATACTGTAAGTTGAAGATTGTAATTTTATTTTATTTTATTTTGTAATTATCTTTAGACATAATAAATCTTAATTAATTGTAACTAGAAACTGTTTTGGGTCGTATCTTTAATAATTGTTGATTCTATGGTATCGTCCTTTGTTAGGCACTGTTTACATCGAGCCAAATTAAAATAGGAGATTAATTTCTCCCAATACAAGTCAGTGCGTAACAATTGTGAAATTATCTTATTGATTACATAGAAATTATCATTAATTTATTAGAAATTATAATTAAATTTTGTAGTAATATGTATCATTTTTATAGAAATTGTTATTTCATTGTAAAACTATCATTTTAACTAGATTAAATTTAAATTGTATCTTAACCAATAGACCTTTTTATTAACTTATGATTTTATTTCATTAAGATTAATATTATTACATTATTGTGAAACTATTTATTTGTTAAAACAGAAATGCTTTTAATTTTTTTTTCTTACACAAGTATTATTAAATTAGAAATTAACTCAAATTTTGAAATTGTTTTAATATAAATGATTCGTTTGTTGTTTAACTATTATTTTAATAGACATTCTTATTTGTTTTAATGTGAAAAATTCTTGTGTAGCTTTTAATATGTTTAAACGTAAATTCTTATTAAATTGTTATGTTTTAATATAATTTATTATATTGTTTTTTAAACTATGTATTATTTTTTTTTAAATTCTTATTAACTTATGACACTATAATTATACTATTGTAGCACTATCTATGTCTGTAAATAGAAATTCCTCTAATATTGTGAAACTATTTACTTTAAAAAAATATTTTATGCTTGTAAACAAAAATATTTTATGATTTTTGAGCTAGGTGTTTTTTTTTATTATGTTAATTTTTTTTTTTTAACTTTTCATTTCATTTCAAGTCCTTTGACTAACTAATTATATATATATATATATATTTCATGTCTGTATCATAAAATTAGTTTGTTTTAAAAAAAAGTTATTCAAATGAATGTAAAAAAAAAAAAAAA